GATGCTGATATCAAATATTATCAAATCAGTATACTTTTGGACTCTATGATCCACCTGTGGTGTGTCTGGCATCAACCTTCTGGGATGACATGGGGAGAAGGAAGGAAGGTTAAGGAGGCAACCTGCAAAGAGTACGTCCTTTGGGCCTTAGATGGCCTGTTTGGGCTGATGCAAGGGTTTCCCGCGGTAAATCTTCCCAACATCCTTTTGGCCTGTAAGCCTTGAAAAAAATATAGAAGTAAGAGTTCCTTTCGCCAGATCTGGAACATCCGAACAAACTGGATACACGGGTCTCTCTCAGAAGGACACCGACTTCCGCGTCCCTGCCGGAGCTTCCTGCCGAGCTACGAGGCTTCTCGCTTCGACCAAAAGCTGTTCCACCGAAGGCCGGTCCTGCGGTACAGTAGCAGCTTGCCGCGGCAACGGGAGGAGAAGGTGTTGGAGAGGGAGAATCAAAAAGAACACAGGAGGATCCCCAGGCAAAAAACAAACACTCTTAACTGTAGTAACTGGATGTTTTTTCACACACAAGGCGCCAGGCGGGGCGTTGCCAGGTTGCCAGGTGCAAAGGGTCTGAAATCGTCTGCGTTCGTTCCGTCCTGCGAGGTCTGCGAGTAGTGGCGGAAGACCACGACACCCTGCGGAGGTCGCAAAGCGAGCAATGGCCATGCACCACGACACGTGATCTGAGCCCAACAGGAGCAACTACGTACAGTATATGACTGGTGGAATCTGCACTGTTTGCACTTGAAGTGGATACTGTTTTGGATTGACTAACTTGGTGTGAAGCTCAGGATCAGCAGGTTGGGCTTGCGGCTGAAGGGTCTCTTTAAGGCGTTCGGCCACGTGACGCCCTAAATGCAGGGCACTTAGCAGACTTGGCAATCACAAACTGCCAAGAGGGTGCTTCAACCTCCAGAAAACAAAACAAAGTTGCAGCTCTAAGCATGAAGAGGTAAAACATACCATGCAGCCGACAGCCCAAAGCAAACAAGATCCCAAACGAAACTCATGTCTTAGCAGGAACCGAGCAAAGCCCAACTACTGATGACACATGTCTGCCTGCTGGTCCAGAAGCACGTCTCCTCCCATCTGATGCCTGAGTGTTCCCAGGCTCCCGAATCATGACTACAAACAACAAATCCAGTGTAACAAGGGAACCACCAAGTGTACCAACCTGCAGCTAGTCTTTACCCTCAAGTTCAAACAAATGGACACACAAATTGATCTCTTGCTGCGGATGGCTTTTACACAGACCCTCTGTCCAGAACGTGGACCTCGGAAAACAGACTCTCTAAAGTGGAGGGTGGGGCAGTGGGCCGAAACCATTTCAATCTTGCACAATCTCTATGATCCTTTATTATGTAAGCATTCCACTTTGAGGTTCCGGTAGTGGAGGTTCCGATCTCTCCTGAAGAGCGGAAAGCCAACCTACATCTTACTTTCTAGCCTTTTGATCGAGCGTCCTGCATACAGGTTGGCCCCGCAGCACATCTTCTAGGGGCGCGAAACGTCCCGCATGTCAGTTTACTCTAAGGTCGGACCGCTCTCCTAAACTGCTCGCGTCCCAGCCGCACATCCTGCCCGTGGGAGGGGTGCAACTGGTGCCCCTTCAAGGTCTCGTCGCTATAGAAGCGCAACGCCTGACACAGAGTACTGGTGAACATCACAGAAACTGGACCAGCTTTGGCTAGTTGACCAGTGAGCTCCTCAGTTCCCGAGTCGAGTTGACAACAGTTGAGCCATTGTATAGACGGTGCACTGCACTGAATTCAGTGGTTCACACATGTTCACACCACCAGCTTTCTGGTGGGTCATGGCATCTTCAAAAGACCGGATAGACCATGGTCCTTCCGCGTTGCTGTCTTCTGTGAACTTGAATATCATTCCGATTTCAGGGTCGTCCTAGCACCAAAAATCATTCGACCCTTCTAAAGAAATCCTGCAATGTTGAACAGAAGAAAACGAAACACCGTCCTCAACCGGTGAGGCGTACCCATGACGTACCCAGGGTACGTCATTCCGCCTCAATCGGGCCACCGAGAAACCGTCGTCGACTCGTCGACGGCCGCGGGGAATGCGCGCGGTCAGACCGCCTCCGGGGACCAAACGCCCTGGAAGGATTTGCGGAAGCCCCACGTCCTTGGGTGAGGCTGGGGAGGAACGAGGGACAAGCACCTCAAAAACGCCCCAAAATGCCGTGGAACCCGGAATCCAGCTGTGATGGCTAAGATCTGGCTGGTGTAGCCATTTGCTTGAGCAAGGATAGTAAGGTGAACATTCAAAGAACACAAATAGTGGACAGTCCGATGAGTGAGCCCCCTGAATGATATGCTTTTCCGGCTTTATGATGTTTGGTCAGAGAACTCCTGCACTGCACTGCTGCAGAACATCCCCCCCTTCGGGGGTCTTCCTTCAAAAAGGGGTTCGACAGCAGCACCAAGCCCCGCACCTGTCTCTCGCATCTCCTCAACCCAAAGGGTTGGTCACTGACCGGCTCATCCGCAAAAAAACGACTCGTCTGCCTATAGACGTCCGCCGTCCTGGGTCAAAACAAGGGGGGTCCAAAGGTTGACCAAACACCCAAACAAACAGAAACACTAGCTAACCGTGCTCGGCTCCACGCCGAACACCAAGCTACAGCCGCTTGTTGACCAAAGAAAACCAAAAACGGACAGAAACACTTAACTGGGGAGGTCAACCTACTCAGGGTGACTTCCAGGCCACCAGCCACTCATGTCCAGTGGCTGGTAGGCCCGGCCCGCATGGCCGGGAACCTCTAAGGAGGGATCGATGAGGTGCAGGAAAGGCGAGCCCACTTCCTGCGGTGTTTGGAAGCTGTCGTTCATTGAATCTGTTGATGGATCCAACCAAAGAAAAACACGGAATATCGCCTACATGTCCATCCCGGCTTCTTGAAATTCTGGAAAGGTTCCGCGACAATTCTACCTCATCTACGAGATCAGGTACACCTCCTGCGCAGCATGTTAACTGTTCTCTGGGTGTTTCTGTCATGGGTATTGAACAACCCCTTACACGCTCGAGTCATCAATAGGCGAAGAATACCGCAGTGTTTTTACATCCAGTGTCTGTTCCACTGTGGAACCTGATGTAGGACACATCCATGATGTGCAAACTATGTTGTTTCATCCATCCTTTCATCCATCCTTTGTCGCATGTCCATCGTTGAAGCAGAAATACAGCAAGAGAGGATAGCAAGAGGCCTTCTACCCTTGGGTTCCTTCCCCTTTCCCTCTGTGCTTGACGAAAAACGGGTTCCTTCCCAAGCAACACCATGGAACGAACGGCCGAGCCGTGTGGTTCCTCTTTTCGGCTTCATGTGTAGGCTTCAGGTCAAGGGCTCTATGGTAGGCGCTAGGTCTTAGGTCCAATACTTCCACCTACTTCCAACACTTCCGTGTTTGTTTTATTTTTTGCTAAGTCAATATTGATCTTCCCACAGAAACACTAAACTAAGGTCACCCACTTTTTCGGCCAGCGATACCAGCTAACCGAGTCCTCGTCCCATCGTTGAGCTGTCCTGAGTGTGGTTTTGCTCTAGTGTGGTGCATGGCATGTTCAATGATTCACCGGGCACAAGTATTCGCCTGCAGAAGTGGCTAACAAGTTCCATGCCCTTGCTGCAAATGATCTGTTGACGCTAGATGATCTGTACAATTGATGTTGAAGTATACAAGTCTTAGCAAAAGTGTTGTTCACGATTTCATCAAGCAATGTCTCATGAATCCAACAATCTTTGAGTTGTTAAAATGGTCAACACCATATCGCATGATTCCAACAGAAACCAAGGATCCAAATGCTCCGGGCACCCTCAATTTTCAGAGTCTTATAACTTAAAAGCTAGACTCTAGAGGATGCTAGATGTTTTCCCTTCCAATTGTCTTAACTTCCGGCACATGAGAGGTCTTCGCATACTCAAAATGATAAACAATTATAAAATGCCGCGTGACTGTGCATCTGGACAGAAGCTCACCTTGGATGTGTGTCAACCAATTGAAGGAAATGGAGGGCCAAACAAACACAGAACCATCCAAAACAATTATGATCAATTATGTAAGTAGGAGCAGAGTGAACTGAGTAAACCTATCAAATTCAGTGTCGGACCGCAAGCTAGCGGCAACAATATGTGTGTTTTGGCCTCTGGATGCCAGCAAACTCCAAGAGTTCTTTCCTCATCTTTCCACTCACCATTGACTGAATCAACGTGAATCAAGAACAAAGGAAAGGGCAGTCCACATGCTCTGTGATTAGGTGTTGCATGAAACGCTCCACCATGCTCCACCTCTTCAACAACTCATCTAAGCGAGTGGCCAACATCCACGGAAAGAAGCCTCACTTGAACTCGTTTCACCACATGCCATCGAGTGGAAACCCGTCCGAAAAAACGTCCCCATGAAACCGGCCGCCCCATGGGCCGCCCCATGGGCCGGGCTGCCGAGTGGCCACAAGGACGTGAAGTCCCAACCATTTCAGCTCATCAGCATGCTGGGCCAGATCAGCCACATGCTGTCGTCCTCAGCCCCATTCGCCCATCCGCCCATCCGCTGTCCGTGTAGCTGCCGAAGCTGCACAAACTGCTGCTGATGGTCATGTCGCGCGACGTTTGTATGGATGTATTGAAGCAAGAGAGCCGGAATGTGGGTGGGGGATGGTGGGGGGAAAGGACAAAGTGGGCATAGTCCCATGACAGGGAATGGAGTCTGGATTGATTCCACCGTTTCTACATTTGTCAACCTGTTTGGAAAGTAGAGCTTTGGACCAAGACCATGGCCCATGGCTCATAATACATGTTAAAGATTCTTGAATTTCAATACTATATATCCTGATATAGGGGGTATCTTCACCACCAAATAGTTCCATATTTCTGCAGCAAAGCATAGCAAGGCGTCTTCCGAATCCATCAATGCCATCGATGAACACCTCCCAAGACCGGACGCCGATGCGGCCGGATGTTTGCTTGCCGATGAGGCTCAGGGAAGTCATCCAAAGTGCCGGAGCCACACCAAAAGCACCCCTGGTTACGGACATCGCCCGGTTCGTTCGGTCGCTCACCATCTCGGGTCGGTCTGGATTCCAACATGAAACGAGGGACGGAGCTGCTGCTCTCCGGACGGAGCAAACGGCTCAAATGTCTGGTCGAACGGTGAAATCATCTTCTACATACTATAGCTGCTATAGCTGTCTCTTTACAGAGATGGCGCGCACAAAAGACATGAACTGGTCCAAGGTCCTAGAAAGAGGTTGAATGTTGAAACATGCGGTTGAATCACCTGCGGTTGAATCATCATTTCAGCACCAGCTCAAGACCACGCCACCGGACCTAATCACCCCACCAATCAAGAAGGATCAAGGCATCATCCAACCGACCGCCTTTTTCCAAATACTGCAAAGCATCGAATCAGCGGGCCTCTGGATCGTTCACAAAGTCTCTGCACATCCACCCAATCGCCTAAAAACCGCTGCGCAGAAACCGTGCAGGACCATTGGTTAAAACGCGAGGCTCAACACGTTGGTATGCCATGGTATTCCCATGTAATCCCCACGGGTCACGAAGGGAGGAATATCTTGCAAGTACATGCTATGTGCAACAAATCAGGGAAGCAGTTGTTCAATGTGTTGGGTCCGGTCTTGCGCATTTCGACCAGTTTCCTTTGTTTTGCCAGCAAGATGTTGGGTTCGATATAACGTGTTTGTTGCCTTGCTCTGATTTGCTGGTGACCAAGACCTCCTCACTCCCCACCTAATATCTTGGGTAATCTGACCACTGAGCCGGGCTCATCAAACTTCACGAAATCGACAGGAGCAACATGTACTGCGCGCCGAAGAACACACGTTTAAGTCATTGTCCATTGGAAGAGTAGTGACAAACGTTTCCTTTACAAGCAGCAGGTCTGCTTCTTTCATTTGTTTACTGTGTACTGTTTTGGTTTGAGATCATGGTGTCAAGCAAACCTGTCACATGCCCACCTTCGTCATTGACCAATCTATTTCCAAGGAAAAACCACACATGTCCCACAGCCCTACCAAAGGCTCCCCAAACTGCACCAACCCCACCAGCTCCTCTTCTAGCCCCCCAAACAACCACCACATCCCCTGCGGCCTCCTGCGCTCTGCAGCACCACCGGTGGCGCCTGCGCCCCCAACGCTATGCCACCCACCGCTCTGCCGGCCGTCGCCTCCAGGCGCTGCAGCAGCTCGCGCCAGCGACGCTCGGAGGCCTGGAGGCGCTGGAGGGCCTGGGTGTCGCTGGATGTTTCTCTGCAAACGAACGGGTTTAGCTCAAAGGATTGCCACCTGGCAAGTCCCAAATACAAACAAGCTCATTCAATGTACTCCTAGGAGGACGCTTCGAGGCATCTCTCTCACCAGGCTGCAGCTAAATCTTGAGGGCTCGAGGAGGCTTGCGAGCAGCTCCTGGGCCCCAGGCGAAAACGACGAACAGCCGAGTCCCAGTCCCAAGGATTGGGCCATGGCTCCCCACAGCTTTGCCAGTGTTTATGTCAATTAATACCCAATTTAATCCAAATTGGGACATCGAATGCCCCAATGTCCGGATCAAACGCCATGGATCCCCATGGATCCCCATGGTACAAAAATCCTAAAGGATTTGACCATGGCTCCCTATAGCTTTGCACTGTTTACATCATTGCTACTCACTGGCTCACCTGGCCAAAGAATCAGTTGCTGACCTGTTGCAGGTGCATGGTGTGACCGAAGGTGAAACTGGTAGGCAAGCAGTTACAATGAATTCAATGCATCCCCATAGATCTTCCCTCCGTGCGCCCATCTCCATCACGGCTGCACTCCTCATTCCGAATCGAACCACGGCTCTCTTCGGTTGGATCGAACCGTCCGGGGCGCTGGAAGTCGGCGAAGTCTTGGAAACCATGTGCCTCTCCGACACGTGACGACGTGGCCCACAGTTGGTTGACGTGCAAAAGAGAAATCACTGTCTCACTAGGGCTCCAGTCGTACCATCTATATAAGAAGGTGGGACTGAGGTGGGTGCGAGGAGGGTCCAGTCATACCATTTTGAGGAGGCACCACTGGAGGTGTAGGGTGTCCCTTTCTTCGGATAGAAATGCATGATGACGACGTATATGAAGAGACTTAAAGAGTCACTGTAGCTGCCATGTGTGAAGCCTGAAGCCGGCTGCACGGATATTTGACTTGTCCGATAGGCAAACAATGGCAAACAAATCACCACGTTGTTCATGTTCTGAGCAAGTGAAGAACATTCCTCAGGAACAACTTCAGCTTGAAATTTCCTAAACATCATCCACCGTGCAAGCAAGCTAGCTCTATAGAAAACGAAAAATTATGCTGATGTTCATTGAAAGAAGCACTCTTCTGTAAGTACTATTCTACATTGGATTAACAGATATTGATAATATTAATATCCTAAGAATAGTAATCCAACATAATCCAAATACTAATAAGAGATAAATATATAGTAGTAGAATGTAGTAGATATCCGTGCCAGTAGGTTGTTCCTTCAGGTACTTCCACACTGTCGACGAAAAGAACCTTTGGCCGTCCTCGCGGTTGGCCAAATCCATCCCCCCGGGCCTCCAGTGCTTGGCGCTGAAGTGCAATCAGCTGACCCAGGCGTGACACCTGCTGCTCCACCTGCGACTCAAAAAGACCCCGACCCCTAAATCCACCCGGATCTTTGCTTCGAAGCTTTTCGCCTCTGATGTCGGGAAACCCCCAGTTGCTGGTGATGAACTCTAGTAGACTCTACATCCTCTCTACCAGGACTCTCCAAGGGGTGTCCAATGAACTACCCCACACCACCTATAGGCTTCCAAAGAGGGCACCCCTTGGAGGGTCCTGGTAGCTAGCCACTGAGAATCACACCAATCCAGCTGCCTGGACCTCTTCGGCTCCATGCTTTTTTCCTCGGACACCGGACCTGACGGGTGGCGACTGACCACACCTGACGTGTGGATGGATACCGATACCCGACCCGACGTGATCGGTGCCTCGATGGTGTCCAGGATTCGATCGATGGACTCGGCCATGGCATCCACGGCGCCCCGCAGGCGTCGCGCGCAGCTCGCCATGGCGAGTCGCGAGCGTCAGCGAGGGTCGTGTGGTCGTGTGGTGATGAAAAGGTGCAGCGAGCAGGTGCTCGTTCCGGCAAACTGTTGGAGGTGGAACGGGAGAAGGAAATAGAAGAACTATAGTGGCAGGAAGCTAAAGATCAAACGCTTCTTGGAGGATCTTGGGGGTTGGTTGCCAACAATACTTGGTGATGTCAGTGTTTGAACTCAGTTCTGTTTTTGCTGGTACAGAGCATGTAAGCACCAGGAGTTGTTTGGCAAGTATGAATTCAACAACCTGCTCAATTTTTCAGTAGTTGAGCGATGCACAATTGAGGCTCCTTGAACCACAAGTGGCTCAGGGACGAGACTGTGCCAAGTTCAGCCGGGAATGGCCACAACCTGGGAATGGTCTATGATAACCGCAGTGCCAGCCAGGCACCATATGTTTTGCAAAACGCAGCCTGCCGACCGGGGTGATCAAATACCGTCGATGAAATGCAGTAGGCCAAGCCTGTAGGCCAAGCTGCTGAAGGTTTTCGGCAGCCACGAAAGCTGTTCGCGCTGTTCGCATCACCAACGCTGGTCATTCGGTCCTTACCCAAAGAATCGGTCCAAACCCAAGGGTGGCAGCCAGGCATCAAGATGAACCCAGTCTGCACTCTGTTGATGCATCCTGCCTTCAAGCACCTCCGTCCCCCACGGTGAGCCGCCTTCAACTCCTCCGCCGTGTCCGACGGGCGCACGATGCCCGCCTAGGAGCTGCGTGCGCCGGAAGCGGGTCGGACATGGTGGTCCGTCAGTCGCTGGAGACGTGCGTGGCAGAGATGGGCTGAGTCACCCTGTGGTTCATAGAACTAGGCCATAGCCGCCATAGCCAAGTCAAGGCATATCATTTTGTAGAGCCATCATCCTTTCAAAACTCTCTTCCGGTTGAAGGCTGGAAGGCTGGAAGCTGTTGTCTTTCCCCAGTGAGTCGATCCTAAACCGGACGATCTTGCCTTCAGTGATCTTGTCACACTTGTGCTGTGTTGGGAGTCTGATGGTTCCAACACCCCATACTCCCTCAGATCCCTTTGGGTAGGGCTTCAGGCTTCGGTTTTGCCCCAGACTCAATGACCCAAGTCCCTCGCCCCTCCGAGCTGGAGCTCCCCACAGCGTTCACCACCCAGCGCAAGGGGCCATAGTTGGTACCTGTGCCACACGGAACGTTGGACGGAGTGACGTTTCTAAACACTGGTATATTTACCTATATATTGGGGTGGTTTGAGGGTCAATGTAGGCAAATATATATTGTATATATATATATATATATATATGGCATACATGGAGTGTCTGGGGTCTGGTGATGGGTGACACCCACTTTCAACGACCTCCGCTCAAATGACTCGAATGATGCTGGGTTCTAACAGGCGCTGCTGGTGGTCGATAGCCAAGGAAGTCTCCAGATTGTGAATTTGAATCACTTCTGGGACCACCAGCGCCTGTTGGTATGTTGAAGACACTTCTGCACCTCTTTTGTTGTAGTTGGTGTTGACTTCATTGGTGCTCATTGGCTTCCCATTGATTGCTTTGTCGATTGATGACATCCATGACAGGACAGCCTCCAGGCGCCTCTGAACCTCCAGGCGCCTCCGTCAGCATTTAGCATGGTTTTCAGAACAACCTATTCCTGGCGTGGTGGTTTCTGGTCATTGGGATATATAAATAATACCGAAAACAGGTCAATAACATCTAATAATTGAAGATACTTCAAACCATCAATACCCGAGTTTGCTTTCACTATTTAATTGTTCAATCTCCCGTGATATGGGACAAACCGCGGGGGTCAATTGCACCAACAGCAAAACAGTCAGTTGGCGAATCGAAGACTTAGTCTTCTGTCACCACCAGCCGTCCAGCTCTCCCGGCGCACGCAGCTTCTGAAGCCTCGGAATCCCAGAAGACAAAAGAAACACGTGGGTCTTGATGGTCTTGCTGCAAGGTGCAGGATGGTTCTACATCTCCATATTTGAAGGTCATATTATCCATCAACTGTCAATCTTGTGCAAGGAAGAGGCACTGCTCCGAAAGAACTCTATCATGTCTCACATGTGCCCAGTTTTCCGTTTCCCAGAAAGTGGACCACAATGGATCATCCCACATCTGTGATCGATCTGCAGTACTCACTAAGGCCAAGTTGACTAGCTCGCGGTCTCAGATCTCGAAGAGCTTCAAAGAGTAGATTCTTAGATCAGTGTATATATGCTTCCAAATGTGAGCAATGTACAGCAAAAGTCACGATACGATGCAACGAGCGATCGAACCCAGGCTGCCGCACAAGTTTCCTCTCACACTTGAGCCAAACGAAGTTTGTGTTTGACTTCTGTCTCTGATGTCTATACAGCAGTGCTTTCACTCAAGGTTACGTGTAACGGTATGGCATTGTTGCCACTGCTATTCCAGAATGCCATTGCAAACTGCAATGCAATGCTTACACACAGCATCAATTTCCAATGCTACCAAGCATGGGGAAAAGCTGGTAGCCAATGCTATCTCTCACATGTTACAAACCATGGTTCTAACCGAGGGTGGTTTTCTCCCCCCTCTGGAGCAAGGAACAAGTGTTCGGTGCTCAAGCTCAGACTTCCCTCGGCTCAAGCTCCGTTCACGAGTCTTACGACATGGCAGGTGAGACATTCTTCATCCATGGCTGACAGCAGCAACGCGCCTCAAAGTGCGCCCATCTGCCTTACCTCAGCTTCTGCATTCGGTGCCATTGTGTATGGCGGAATGCGTTTCGCCTTCTTTGTCTTTCGTTTCTTCTTGTACGAAGTGGTCGCCACTGTCGGGTTCGGAGAGGGCTCGAGGGCGTGGGTTTCCATGCTCCCGACCTTCAACCCAGTTTGTGTTGTTCTGACCACCTCATAGCCTGCTATCTGCACCTGGATGTTGTACAAAGCCAACGGCCAGTGTGGTGCCTCTAGCTGCTTGGTAAAGATGTCTGCTTTCTGCTCCTTCGTGCCTACGATCATCAGTTCGACGTCTGGCCTATCCAGCTGCTCCTTTATAGAGCTGAGGTTGACCTTGTGCGTCCTCTTCAGATGACGGAGTTTCTTTGAATACCCTGCGGCACAAACCTTGGCACATGCCTCATTATC